GGGCTGGGGGTCCCAGGTGGAAGGGCTCCAGGAGGCGGCACTGGGGGTGGGAAGGAGCCAGGAGGAGGCATGCCTATAGAGGAAATGGAAGAAAAATTAATAATTAATGATAGTAAGGAGAGAATGTCTCTCGTGAGCCTGTTCCATCGTGGCCTCTCCATATTGGATGAGCTCTTTTCTCCTCCTCCCAGCTTTCTCAAAAAAGCAATGTTAGCCAATACAAACAACTTCAACTTCCTGGAGAAACAGCAACTTTTCTCCCCATCACAACCATCACACCTCCTCAATCCTCCTCCCATTGCCCAGTGACTCAATATCCTCCTTTATTATTCTTTTTCCTTCTTCCTGCCCTACCCACCAAACCCAAAACAAACATATTCTGAATCAAAAACTTTACCTGGTGGAGGAAGCCCAGTTCCCAATGATGATACTACAGGATTGGGGGCAGAGGGTGGAGGTGGTGCATCTGCAAACAGCTGATGAGGGCGATCAGCCTGGGAGAGTGGGTTCTGGGCTGCCAGAAGTCGCTCGGCTGCTGAGCCATGACGTTCACCCTTGGAGTCCTTCTTGAAGGCATAGGACACAGTGATAGGGCGGTTGCAGAGGTACTGCCCATTCATAGCTTCAATTGCTGCGTCCGAAGCATCAAACGAAGCAAAATTAATAAAGGCATAACCTTTGGAGTTGCCTGTGTCAGGGTCCCGCATAATCTTGGGCGTTTGCAAAATGACCCCAAAGGCGCTGAAAGTGTCATAAAGCAACTTCTCATCAATCTCTGGGTCCAGGTTCCCAATGAAAATGTTGGCCCCCACATCCAGGTTTTTGTTGTGAGCTGATGCTTTGTTCACCCGGATTGGCTTCCCATAGAGTTTGATCATGTTCATGATCTTAATGGCATAGTCAGCATCTTCCTCGCTCAAGAATTCCACGAAGCCATAGCCTGGAGGAGTGCAAGGGAGGAGGTTAGCTTAAGCGAAGTGGTGCAAAACTGGGGTACACCTCATCCACCTTCGAAAGCACCAAAAATAAGAATAACCTCACTTCCATGGAGGACGGTCCCAGAAACAAACTGTGCACAGACTTAAGAGACAGAAATGTTGAGGTTGCTTATTGCAAAGCAGCCGGGAATACTGCCGGGATTCTCAATGGGCAGCGTGTCCCCTCAGTGCAGGAGCGCACGGACTCACCTTGGTGCTGACCAGTGACCCTGTCCTTGGGCATGTGGGTGTTAACGACCGGCCCGGCCTGGAGAAACAGCTCCCACAGCAGCGGTTCGCTAACCTTCTCGTCCAGGCCCCCCACGTACACGGTGGCATCTGGACGACGGGAGAAGGGGGTTAGGGCCGAAAGGAATGGACAGGAAAGGGGACGACAGGAACATGAAGGTGAAAACAAAGCGGGGTAAGTGGGGGGTGGAGACAGGGAATCGGAGCAAAAGAAAACAACAACAAAAAAACCCGTTAGATGAAGCCCATACACCTCCCTTTCTACACGAACAACAGAATCTTCTTACGCCTAACTTAGAGTTCTGCTGCAAATTCTCTTTACAACTTTCTTATCAGCGGGAAGGCAGAAGATTGGACATAGAAAGCATCGCGCCTACAGGCCTTGGCCCGAACTCGGCCTCCCCCCGCCCCCAGAGGGCACCGGGCGGGTCTCGCGCCCCCGGGGAAGCCCAGGCTCCCGCCCCGACGGAAACACTGGTGGCCACGGTCCAGCCTCCCGACCCCCGAAGCCCATTCCTGGCTCGTTCCCCCCAGTCACCCTGGTTCCGCTCGGAGATCGGCCCGGCCGCCATGGCGAAAGAGCTCCCGCCGTCTCCAGGCAGCAACTCCACCCCCCGACCTCAGTCACTACTTCCGGTTCCGGGGCGAAGGCGGG